ATTCTCCCATCTCTCTCCTTGTCCTCAGGCCTCTCTATTTCCTGAGACATGAAAATATTAGAATTAGGCTTATCAGCAACCCTGGAATGGCCTCTAAGTGTTCAAGTGAAAGAAAGTCACGTTTCTCACTTAAATCAAAAGCTAGAAATGACTAAATTTAGTGAGGAAAGCACGTTGAACTCCAAGACCGGCTGAGAGCTAGGCTTCTTGCTCCAAACAGTAAGTCAAGTTGTGAATGCAAAGGGAAAGTTCTTGAAAGAAATTTAAATTGCTACACCAGTGAACACACAAATAAGAAAGCAAAACAGCCTTATTGCTGATATGGAGAAAGTTTGAGTGGTTTGGGTAGAAGATCAAACCAACCATAACATGCCCTTAAGCCAAAGGCTAATCCAGAGCAAGGCCCTAACTCTCTTCAATTTTCTGAAGGCTGAGAGAGGTAAGGAAGTTGCAGAGAAAAAGCTGGAAGTTAGCAGACATGGTTCATGAAATTGAAGGAAAGAAGCCGTCTCCATAACACAAAAGTGCAAGGTGAGCAGCAAGTGGTGATGGAAAAAAAATGGAAACAATACATAATCTATTTGACTACTTTGAAACTATAATAGACATTAGATAGATATATTAGAACACCTGATAAAAATAAATAAGGACTGCATTTATAGAAAACTGAGCAAATGAAAAATGATGCAATTTTTACCCAAGGAAAAATAAAAGTTGAACTAGGAATAAAACATTATCAAGTATACTCCTTGGCTTAGGAATGAAGAGTATTCATATTTCATGTTAATGTAAACATTCCCTGAGGATTTTAACAAAAATGTTACAAATCTGTGATACAGATAGGGAAGTCAGAAAACTCTTCATCTACCATAAGAGGAAGTTAAGTAGGTAATGTTCAATAAGTAAGGAATAGGCAATATGAGCGTGTTATTTAGAAATATGGGGGTAAATATTAAATATCTAAAAGAGCTAACAGTGGTGGCCTCTCGGATGATATATTATGGGGCATGGAAAAAGTATGGCAGGAGATAGTTTTCATTACAAGTTTTCTGGCAATCTATGATTTTTTTAAAAAGCTATATGCAATTTCGGGCACGGTGGCTCAAGCCTGTAATCCTAGCTCTCTGGGAGGCCGGTATTGGAGGATCACTCAAGAGTTTGAACCCAGCCTGAGCAAGAGCAAGACCTCATCTCTACTAAAAGAAAAAAATTAGCTGGGCATGGTGGAACATGCCTATAATTTCTGCAGCTCAGGAGTCTGAGTTAGGAGGATTCCTTGAGCCCAGAACTTTAAGGTTGCAGTGAGCTATGATCATACCACTGTACTCTAGCCAGGGTGACAGAATGAGATCCTGTCTGGAACAAAAAATTTAAAAAAGCTATATGCATACATTATTTTGATGTAACTAATAAGAAATTAAAATTTTAAAATAGAGAAATATTAACAGATAATTTTGCTATACCTTTCCAAGCTGGGCCTGCTTTCATCTCTTCTGGCTGGGAATTACTAGGCTGTAGGGAGTAATGCACTGGTCATTAGACACTGGGGATATGGCCTCTTTGACAGTTATTTTGCAAGGTTTATCAATAGTTCAGTATTCAAGCTGTGTGTGTGTGTGTGTGTGTGTGTGTGTGTGTGTGTGTATGCCCACATACTTACATGCATATATACAAGTCCATAACTAACCAGATTTGGAGACCAAGAAGAAAACAGAGCTTGAAGTCCTACCAGGGTTTCTAGTTTAAAGACTGAGTTTCTACCATTTTCTGTGTTATTTAATATAAATACAGTAGGGTTACTCATTTCGGTAATATTTCTTTAGCTTAGTTATTTCAGAACAGAAGAAAATCACCGAGGTGTGTTTTTTTTGAAAACCTTTTATTATTGTGACTATAACTCACAACACAACAAGTGTGTAAACTATAAAGAATAGCTTAATGAATTATTACAAAGTGAATCTCAGAGTAGCCACCACCTAAGTCAAGACATAAAACATTGCCAGCCACCCTGGGAATGTTTTATGGCTATTTTCTTCTTGATTTTCTTTATGGTTTTAACACTGCACTGCAATGGTATAGATTTAATTTCACTAAGTTCAGGCTTAGTTTGGAGCTTGAGCAAATTTGAGTTTCTAGTTGGTTAAATAGAGTCAGGGTGGTATGGGGAAGAAACTGAGGTACTTCTATACCTCAAGAGACCTTAACTACTTTAGGGTTTCTCACCCTCAGCACTACTGACATTTTGGGCTAGATAAGTGTTTGTTGTGAGGAGCTCTCCTGTGCATTGTAGGGTGTTTAATAATACCCCTAGTCTCCACCCACTAGCTACCAGTAGCCTCCCTCTTCCAGTTATAACGACCAAAAACATCTGAAGATACTGCCAAATAATCTCCAGTTGTGGGCCACTGCTTCAGACTAATGTAAGAACTACTGTTGTTCAAAGTAGCACTTGATCTAAAAAGTCAATGTAGGCTATTTTGGGCATTCTACTACTCAGTCGTAGCCAAAAGGTGGAGAATGAACCTGAGAGTTCTAAACTATCCCGCAACTCAGCCAGAATTAGCTGGGTTCAATGACCAGAGTCTGACTTCCAGGGTCCCAGGTGGCAAATCTGCCAAGACAGATGCTTTGGCTCAAGTGGTAGAATGCCTAGCAGCTTTCTCACAGAGTCAGCAAGTGAGAAACCGTCCAGTTGACTTCTTTCCCTACCACCTCCTTTTCATATTCTAAACCTTTCAAATCTTCCAGCTTATTCAGGCAGTTTATTCACTGCTATATGGCAAAGGACCTGCATATCAATTGTAATATACGTACACATATATATCTATAAACACATATTATATAAACCATAACATAATATGTAAATATTAGATATTATGATCTAAAAGCACGTTTAGCAGTTTTATTATGGTGTGTCTAGTTCTAGGTATCTTTGTGTTTATCCTACTCGGAGTTTGTAGAGATTCTTGAATCTGATTCTCAGTAATTTTTCATTGGTCTCGGAAAATTCTTGGTAGCATCTTCTCAATTATTGGCTTGTTTCATTCTCTATTTTCTCTCTTTTAGTTTTTCTCGCCATGTCCTATATGTTCTATATGTTCTTTTCTATGTCTTCTGCCTTTTTTATTCTTTGTGCTTTAATTTAGATATTTTGAGCTGACCTGTCTTCCAGTTCACTAATCTCTGCTATTGTGTCTCTAGTGTGCTGCTGGATCCATCTATTAATTATCATTTCCAGTCATTATATTTTATCCCTAAAACTATCACTTGATTCTTTTAATTCCATTTCTTTGACAAAATTCTCCATTTTGCCATTTATTTTCTTGAACATATTAATTGTAATTATTTAAAAAATATGCATCAGATAATGTCCATATCTTGACTCTCTGTGGTATGTTCTATCTTTCTTTCCTCTTTCTCTCTTCATTTTCAGCATTTAGCCTTATGTGCTGAAAATCTGGTGTTTTTTGTTAGAATGCCAGAAATTATGTATGAAAAATATAGCAGTTCTATGTTATGCTACCTTCCTTCAGAGGTGATTTAATTCTCTTCTGGGAGGGGTTTAGGGTAGTTGCAGCCCAACTTGATACAATGAGGGGTGAGATGACTGAAGACTGCCAGTCCTTACAGAGCTGATCTATTTCTAGTTTGACCTTACTTCTAGCTCATATCCTTTTAGGGGTTTCAACTAAAAGCCTGGGGTGGCAGGCCCTGAAACTGAATTTTTATCTTCCCAGCACAGTGAAACTGTCAAAAGTTCTTCTCAGATTTTTACTTCCTTAATTTAGAGTTTATTGTTGGCTTTTCTAAGCCTCTCAACCATTGCAATTTAAGAATTGGCAGATATGTTGAGGAAAAAAGTGGCTCACTTCTCTGAAATTTTCTATTCTTTAAGACCCATTTGTCTTATTTCTGGGTGTCCTAGTACCCCTGAACTAAGTTTTTATTTCCTAAGTCCTATGACATTGGTAAATGCCCCAAGTCACTGCTTTTTACTCAGCCTTTTGAATTTATGCCACAAATCAGCAAATGTTTCAAGGAAAAAGGCAGAAGAAATTACTGCCCTCTCCCAGGGACTTCATTGTGCTTCCCCACCCCCAATTCATATTTTGGTGCCCTCATCCACAATGGACTGTATTTGGAGATCAGTTTTTAAGAGACAATTAAGGTTACCTGGAGTCAGAAGGGTGGGGCCCCAATCTGATAGGATCAGTGGCTTTATAAGATCTCTCTCCATCTCTCTCTTTTTTCCTGTCCTGTGAGGACACTGCAAGAAAGTAACCATCTGTGAGTCAGGAAAAACACCCTCATCAGGATTTGAATTGGCCAGCACTTTGACCTCAGACTTCCTGATTTCCAGAACTGTGAGAAATAAATTTCTGTTGTTTAAGCCACCCAGTCTCACTGATATTTTGTCATGGAAGTCCAAACAGACCAAGACATCCCCTTCATGCCATTTTCTTCTTATCTGAGATCTTGGTTCCTAAAATCCTGGCTACTTGGTTATTCTATGATTCTTCAATTATTTTGGTGTGTTTTTGTATTTTACTTGGCTTTTTTGTAGTTCTCAGTCAGAAGTTTGGTCTGATAACCACTTTGTTAAAGGAGTAAGCAAAAATCTTAGAAAGAAACATTAGAATATTTGAGTGAATAACATTTCAGGGAAAGCAAAGAGTAAGTGTAAAGACCTTGGAGCAAGAACCTCCTCAGTAAATGGAATGGAAGAATAGAAGACACAAAGCACGGGCAACCTGAGTGCCTTGAATGCAAGGGAGAATTGTATAAAACCCAGACTTGAAAAAGAGACAAGAATCAGATCAGGTAGGGCCTGGTATGCCAGGGTAAGGAAAATGGATATTATTTTGTGGCAGTGGGACACCACTGTAAGCTCTTATGCTAGGAGGGGATATTATCTGATAAATATATCACAGAGGTCAGAATTTTACATATACATGTAATGGATCATAAAGGGCATAGAAGTAAACATGGAATGTTAGTTAGGAGGCTACTGTAGAAATCCAGGTGGGAGAAAATTTGGCTAAGATGGTAGCCAAGAAGGTGGTAAGGACAGGTGAGGTCTGTGCTATCTTGCTTGAAGCAAGACTTGCTGATAGTTTGAGTATTTGTCATGTTGAGGGACAAAAAGCAATCTAACATGACTTGAATCTTTTTTCAGCCTGAATAACAGATAATAGAAAATACTGAGGGAAATCTATTGTTCTGAAGGACTAGTCAGGGCTTCTTTTAAGTTTGAGGTGTCTATTAGACAATTATGATGGTTGAGTTTATTTGTCAACTTGGCTAGACTGCGATGACCAGTTGTTTGGTCAAATACAAGTCTAGATGTTACTGTAAAGATATGATTTTTTTTAAAGATATGATTAACATGTACAATGAGTTGACTTTAAATGAAGCAAATCACCCTCCCCAATAAGAGTGAGCTTCATCCGATCAGTTGAAGGTCTTGAGAGCAAAGACAGAGGTTTCCCAAAGAAGGAGAAATTCAGCCACCAGACCGCAACATCAACTCCTACCTGAATCTCCAGCCTGCCAGCTTACCCCGTAGATTTCAAACTTGCCAGCTCTCATATCACATGAACCAATTCATTTTAAATAAATCTTTCGTGTGTGTGTGTGTGTGTGTGTGTGTGTGTGTGTGTGTGTATGAGATCTCTTGTATTTTGACCAAACAACTGTTGATTCTACTTCTCTGGAAATCCCTCACTAACAACAACCAGTGAGCAGTTGGATATATGACTCTGGAGCTTAGGTAAGAAGTTGGGTACAAATCTGGACTGAAATAATTACTATAAAATTATGATATTATATAACTATGTTAGTTTCCTGGGGCTTCCATCACAAATTGCATGCCTTTAAAGAACAGATACTTATTCCTCAAACAGTTCCAGAGGCCATGAATCTGACATCAAGGTGGCACAAGTGTTAATTCCTTCAGGAGGCTCTGAGGGAGAATACCTACTATGCCTTTCCAAGTTTCTCGTGGCTGCAAGCAACCCTTAGTATTCCTTGGCTTGCAGCTGCATCATTCAGATCTCTGCCTCTGTCTTCACTTGGCCTTCCCCCCTGTGTCTCTGTGTGTCTTCTCTTTTTTTATGACTTACAAGGACACCTACTATTGGATTTAAGGCCCATCCTAAGCCAGGATGATCTCATCTCAAAATCCTTAAATTGAATACATCTGCAATGACCCTTGTTCCAAATAAAACCACATTCTGAGGTTCTAGGTGGATATATATTTTGAGGGACACTACTCAACCCACTGTAATCATATAAAAATATATAACGTTGATACTATTTCTATCTTTAAAAACTGATATAAGTAGCACTATAAGATCCTGTTTACTTAAAACTATCACCTTCATATAGAATTATACTCATCATAGAATTGCATTTTTATGATAATCTATTGTCAGCAAAGCGACCCCTTTATAAATTACGTAAGTTACCTGGGACTGTTATCCACATTTTTACTTTAACATTACGTTCAAAGCAAAATTCTATCAAGGTTGTATGTTACAGGAGGTAAGTGCTGTGTCACTTTCATTGGCTTTGCCACTTAGACACAGTGGAAGCTTTATTCAATAATAATGTTCCAATCCATAACACAGACTCAAGCATCTGATGGATTGGTGTGTATACAGTTTATATCGGTTTAAGTTTCCATCTTTCAGAATACAAGGAAAGTTAGATGAAAAATATTCTTGACCTATCTAGGTTCTGCTAAACTTTTATGACTGTCTACACCTAAAGATATGACATTTTCTTTGCACTGAAAGATCTGCAAAGTGTCTGGACCAAAGTGACTAGGATTGCCCTTGTTCACAAAGGGCCTCAGAGAACAAACTAAAGACTGATCCCCCTCCTCTGCTGCCTTTTCATCCGACTCTTGTGGTCATTTCTGCTGATGTCAGCTCTACTCTCTGCAGCTCTCACTGTCGTTTTCCTACAGAGATGGATGGCTTAGCAGACTGCTGGGGTAGCTATCCATCACCTATGCCTATGGATGATCAAGGCCATGTCTGTGGTTCCAAATTTGGCAGCAATTAAGTATGGGTTGCATCCAGCAAAACAGTTCTCTTGTGTCCCCCACAGAGTATCAGGGACTCTGAAAGGATTTCTACTTATTTCAGAATGCTGCCAACAGCTCACCTACTGAGACTGAAAAGTAGAAGGAAAATGAGATGAATAACAAAAAAGAAGTGAGAAAATGGAATAAAGACATTCAGGAACTAAGGCAGTGGGATCTGGTGTGCTTGATCTTGTGTTCTTTGGGTTTGTTGATTTTGTAATAAGTGCTTTGCTATGTGTGCCAAGGATACTACACAAACAACACCTTTTTGGGTCAAAGGAAACACGTGTGTTGAAATAGGCATAAACCCAGGATTAAAAGAGGTGGATTGCCTCACAGATATGGAAAAAATGTGCTTTCTTGATGACCCTCCCATGTTGAAAACCAAGATATAATAATGACAGCTTAATAAACGTTCCATTTATTGGGATCTGGTTTGCTCTCTAGAGCACAACTTTGCTACAGTCATTTGTTCAGCATTTATTAGGTAGACAATATTGCCTCCCTACTTGGTGAAGGGCCAAGAGAAGCAGTGGATGCAATGTGAAGCCCTAAGTTAAGAACTACTTGAAAACAAGGGTTCAGATGTTTACCCCAAGTCACTTAAGAGCCATTTAAAAATAGAAAAAGAAATCATCATGAAAAATATGGATTAAACTTAACATACGAAAAATGTGAATATCTTCTTCTAGGAGGGCCAAAAATATATTTTTAGAACCTACACAAGTCATCATGCTCTCCAGGGCTTTTTCTCTCTTCTTCCAAGATGGTCATTCAGAAAACACTAACAGAACACTTACTGTTTGGGTCCAGGCAAAAGACACTGCATTCAAGGGGTTCATAGTCTGTCTGGGTACACCAAACTCACATATCCTCATTTTATTTTGATTTTGAAATATACTGATCTATGCCTTCCTCCCATTCTCTAGGCTGGGAACTTTGTGTCTTTTAGACAAATAGAAGACAGAATATACTGATTGATGTTACCTTTGGGATTACAGAGAATACCCTGAAGGCTTCCCACGTCCTTCGAGGCAGTGGGGGAAGTTTACAGCTGACTTCTGGAAACAGTATCGTGGGCTGGTATTAGAGTACCATCATCCCTGAGGTTCAGAATTTCCACCACAAAAAAATGGAAAGACCTACATACAATCAGTCAGGGGGATATTTTTAAGAGGCTCATGCTCTTCTTATTTAATTGTCTGGTGATGGGTCACAAGATAACTGTTTAAATTTGATTTTAACTATTTATATAAATGATATATATATTATATATTTAGTGCATTTGTATTTTATATATTGAACTAGTCTAAGTCATGTGTGCTTTAGCATTCTTGGTACTTACTGAGACTCTTTAGAGGAGCAGATAGTTGAAATGCTATGAAAAAACCCCCACAGCATTACGAGTACAGCTAGCACCATTTTTCATTCAATATAATGCTGTTCTGATTGGAAATCCATAGTCTGCTATTAACCCTGAAATTTTCCTTCTAACCGGTGGACAAACCAAATGATTCGTTTTTTTTCGTTAAGAATCACCATTCTCTGGAGCCTCGTATGCTAACATGTGCCAAATTTAGCTCTTTATTCCTATCACAGTGTATCATGCCTGTCAGAATGTGGCAAGATTTAAAGGCTCACAGCAGACAGCTGTCTTTCTGGAGCTAAAGCAGCCACTGTTGCTCACTGCTTTGCACATGCACTTTACCTAAGACAAGAGAGAGAGTTTGGGGATCTCCTCTAGCTAGTCACCATTCCAAGGTCAGCTCAACACAGATCAGCTCAACATATCCTGAAATTCAGTAATATATGCCATTTGTACTGTCTCCGTTCCATCTTTAGGACTTGAGAGTTCAAACCACCCAGCTAGGAGATGAGTGGGGGCTGGATTCCAGCTCACATTTTACTCATCAAGCTATGTGCCCTGGGGTGAGGCTGAATATACTCAGGAAGAGGCACCTAAATCTAATCTTCCCAAAGGCACCAGATGGGTGACCCGTGCATAGCAGGATACACATGAACCAAGCTTAGGGGACCAATTCAGCCTTCATCCTTCTTGATACCCTCCTGCCTTCCTAACCACATTGCTCTTCCTCATCATTAGTAGGAACAGGCTTCAAATAAACCATGCCATCTCCTAATTTCAACTAGTTTGTAGGAGTATAAGAAGTTTTTATGTTTTCCTTGCGTTTGAAACTATTTTTGATGACTTGAATTTATTATGCCATGGTATGATTTATCCATAGTCTGTAGCCTCCCAAGTTTGAAATAGTAACTGTAGTGTGGCTAGCATTAGGTTACATGCCGTTAGGAATAGAAAAAAGAAAGAATTGTGGGTATGTGTGTTTATCTACATTGTCCAGATATGTGTGTCTGTGCACACTTAGATGTTTTTATTCTTGATTTTGCTTACTTTTGACTCTAATTTGGATAGTTAGAATATCCTTCCTATCTTTCTCATTCGCTGCTTCATAAATTGTTTATGCTTTAAGGCCCAACTTAAACCTCACTTACTCCAGGTAGCCTTTCCCTGCACCAAGCTGTATCCTACGTGGTCCCATATAACTACATATGTTTATTGCAGCCTTTGCCACTGCCACTGCATGCCACTATGTGGTCTCATATAACTACATACGTTTATTGCAGCTTTTGCCATGGGACTCTGGGGGTCCCGTGTGAAGACTGATTTATCCTGACACCATTGTAAGAGCAAACTAGCCAACAAGATGCTCCTACTATGAAGCCCTGGAAGCTTAGGAGAAGATGGGATAGGGCTGACGGGCAATCAGGAGAGCCTATGAATGCCTGTGCAGGAAGGGACTTAGCGCCTGGGGAAGGCTGGTGGAAAGTGACATCTGTGCAGGAGACTGATGAAAGAACAGTGTCCGGAGTTAAGGCAAGCATCCAGAAATCTGTTCCGTTGGTAAGATCTTTTGCTACACGGAAAGTAGATGAAAATGGAAGTAGAATGTAAGGGAAGGAAGAGATTGCAGAGCTCGAGGTAGATACAGACATATAAAAATCCACAGAGGTATTATTTTAACACCTTATTTTAAAAATAATTTAAAGATACCCTCTTCTATTATATGTATGCCTATTTTTCTCTAATTAGCATATTAGGCTAATTAAACCTTAGCAAATACGTAATTCACGTTATAAAAATGTCTTACAATTGATTAAATGCTATTGCATGGTATTTGTTGACAATGTTTTTTTTTTTTAAGTTTCAGCTTTGGAAGAGTTTATAAGTAGATCAATTTCCCAGACATGCTGCCAACTTCAAGTGATTTCAAGTGTTAAGCATTCCAAAATTACTTCTTTAAGTTGAACTGCAGATATTATCTGCACGGGAGACAATCATCCAACCCAGCGCAACTGCTGCTGAATAATGCTCTATCAAGAAAAACAAGCTTTTAATGAAAGAACTGCTAATATTTTTGTGCATGTTTACATGTGAATAGATGAATAAAAAAATCATTCTGACAGAAAATTCTGCCGATGTCACAGTTTCCTTTTTCCAAATTCTAAGCATTTTACCCTAGTAGAATAACTGGTTTCTAATGAGTGAATATCGTGTGTTATCAACAGCTCTCTGTCAGATGTTTTCTACTTAAGGCACGTGAATATTTAAAAACCATCTTCGCTTGGAACCACTATTTCCTACCTGCCTTTCCTCCACTCAAGATTATCCTTTTAAATCTGTAGCAAGTAATTTTTAGACGCATTTCTTATTATAGCATTACCACAGCCAGCACAAACGTCTTCTTTTTCCCTTTCTCCCGCCATGTGTACACATAATGGAGTTTCTTATTAAATATACATGCAATCCCTCGTTGCATATAAATGTACTTCATCAAAGAATGAGGGAGACCCTGCAACTCTGCTATCGATTGGTCATAAAGACAGTAATATCTGAATGGTGTTCTCAGGCTTTCTTTAAAAAACGAAAACCAAAAACAACTGAAAGAGTCATGTAACTTTACCGACCATCATAAGGAGCTCTAATGTGGCTCCTTGCTTACATATTTGCCAGGCTGCTTTATGACATATTTCTGAGACGGCAGAAAGCAGAAACCGCTTTTCTACTTTACAAAGCCATGGGTTTTGTTTTTATGGAGCAATACTCTCACCTTTGGGGAAAAATGCTAATCTAAAGAAAGCCACACTGCTATTTTGGAGGGGTTGGGAAGAGGGTTAGAATGAACCACTAGGGAAATGCTTCCTGATGGTTCAAGTGCATCTCTGAAAAAACACCAAGCAATGCCATAGAAGATGTCCTTTTTTTTTTTTGAGACAGAGTCTCACTTTGTTGCCTCAGGCTAGAGTGAGTGCCGTGGCGTCAGCCTAGCTCACAGCAACCCCAAACTCCTTGGCTCAAGCGATCCTTCTGCCTCAGCCTCCTGAATAGCTGGGACTACAGGCATGCACCACCATGCCTGGCTAATTTTTTCTATATATATTAGTTGGCCAATTAATTTCTTTCTATTTACAGTAGAGACAGGGTCTCACTCTTGCTCAGGCTGGTTTCGAACTCCTAACCTCAAGCAATCTGCCCACCTCGGCCTCCTGGAGTGCTAGGATTACAGGTGTGAGCCACCGCGCCCAGCCAGATGTCTTTTGAATTAGTAAAGCAGAATTTGAAAAGCAGAAAAATAGTTCTCATATCCAAACAAGTTCATTTTAAAATTAGGTGCACAGGACTTGAAATTCACAATAATTTCATGCAGAGAAGAAGGAGAAAATCAGAAGCCTGTTAAGGAATAACTTAAGATAAGAGCATGCATGGAAGGACAAACTATTGTTTTGTTGAAGGCACAGGCTTCTCAGAAAGCTCTTCTGCCTCTGGTTTGGGAATGCTAAATTACACTGTTGGAAAACACACTCGGATGGGTGACTGAAGCCAAGTCTGCACACACCAGGTGAAACGGTATCTATTGACTTACAAGCTGGATGCATGTGTCAAAATGCAATCCAGTATTTTTGTAATAATAGCCAGCAGTCATGTCTGTAAATTATTTATGGAGAGTATTCAGTGCAAACAGGTTAGTGCACACATCCTCTTCAGCTTGACTGCCCTGGTTTTAGATCACGCAGACGTTCAACTCCTCAGAGATCTGCTCTTATCACTGCAGACCCTAAAAGGGGGCCCCAACTGCAGTCAGTTCAGTGACTCAAAGCCGCCTGGCCACTTGCTAAAGCTCTACCTCAAGGTTCAGTGAGTAAACACGGTCCCTCTGCCCCCCTCTCTCACACCCGCCTGGCCCTGGCCATGTAAGGCAATATCAGACATGAAGGCGGATCGATCCCCGGAGCAGAGGCATGGCTGTGTTCTGCTATCTTTGTGCAGAAACATGGAAGAATGTGTGCAGCAAAGGCCACTGGTGATCTTAACGTAAGCTGACATTTCACTAATGCCACGTTTCTGAGACTGGGAAAGGGCTGGCTACCCAGCCAAGCCCTCGGTTTACGTTTAAATAAGCGTGGTGCCCTATTGCAATGCGGAGCATGATTTCCCCTTCTGCCCTGGAATTTTTCAGCCATGGTCATTTCCATTTCTTCTCGGTGATCAATGTAGGCAGGTGGACCTCTCTGAGTGCCACATAGGTGGCCAGAAAGGTTATAGCATCTTTTAAATTTTGAGAATTAAAGCCACAAGGGAAAGCAAACTCTCAGTTAATATTTCAGGAAGGCTACTCTATCTCTTCATCAAACAGACAATTAATGAGATATGGACCTTAGATGTCCCAGGTCAGACAATCATACATTTCACTGTATCTTCTTTGTCTTTTAAGATGAAAAGCGATTACAACCTTTCCATTGCTTAATATGGAAGAACTGTTTCTGGCATAAGAGATCACAGCTTTTATTTGTGGGCTTAGAACAAGAAGTGGGTTAAGCTATGTGTTCGCCAATTTATAAGCAGTATATAGGAGATACTAGCACAACCACCACAGCAAAACTTGGAAATATAATGGGCACTGCAAAGTGGCAAGAGCAGAAAACAAAATCTGTCAGTTCTAGAATCAGCTTTCTTCAGGACTGGACATCCAGTGATTTATCTTCCAAATGGTTTTACAGTGTTTGAAAGCAATAGACAACAATATAGGCATACCTCAGAGATATTATGGGGTTTGTTCCAGACTATCTCAATAAAGGGAATATCTCAATAAAGTGAGTCCAATGAACCTTTTGGATTCTCAGTGCTTATAAAAATTATGTTTACACTATATTGTAGTCTATTGAGCTTGCAGTAGTATTATGTTTTAAAAAACAATGTGCACATGTTAATATTGCTAAAAACTATTTATGATCATCTGAGCTTTCAGTAAGTCCTAATATTATTGCTGGTGCAGGAGCTTGTTTCAACATTGATGGCTGCTGACTGATTGGGGTAGTGGTTGGGGGAGCTTGGGGGAGGCGTGGCAATTTCTTAAAATTAGGTAACAATGCAATTTGCTCCATTGAGTCACTCTTCCTTTCACACCTGCCTCTACATTATCAACTAAAGTTTATGGAGTAGTCTAAATCCTCTAGGCCTGCAGTCCTGAACCCCTAGGCTGTGAACCAGGCCGCTCCATGGCCTGTTAGGAACCAGGCCACACAGCAGGAGGTGAGTGGGAGGCAAGTTGAACAAAGCTTCATCTGTATTTACAACCACTCCCACTCCCCATCCCATTGATTCTGCATTATGGTGACCTGTATAATTATTTCATTATATATTACAATGTAATAATAATGTTAATAGAAATAAAGTGCATAATAAATGTAAAGTGCTTGAATCATCCCTAAACCATACCCCCCACCTCCCGGCCCATGGAAAAATTGTCTTCCATGAAACTAGTCCCCAGTACCAAAAAGACTGGGGACTGCTGTTTTAGACTATAGACACTGTTGTCACTTCAACAGTGTTCATAGCATCTTCACAAAGAGTAGATTCCATCTCAAGAAACCACTTTCTTTGCTCATTCCTAGGAAGCAACTTCTCATCTGTTGAAGTTTTATTAAATTGCAATAATCAGTCACACTTCAGGCTCTTCTTCTAATTCTAGTTCTGTTGTTATCTGTACCACACCTGAAGTTACTTACTCCATGAAAGTTTTGAACCTCTCCAAGTCATCCATGAAGACTGGAATTAAATTTTTCCAATCTCTTGGTAATGTTGATATTTTTACCTCCTCCCAAGGCATCTAAAATGGTGAATCCTTTCCAAGAAGTTTTCAATTTATTTTTCCAAAATCCATAAGGCTTATGAAATCTATTTCTTAAATTAACAAGGCTTGAAAGTCAAAATGACTCCTTGATACATGGGCTGCTGAATAAATGTTACATTAGCGGGCATGAAAATAATATTAATCTCTTTATACATCTCCATCAGAGCTCTTAGGTAACCAGATGCATTATCAATGAACCATAACATTTTGAAAGGAATCTTTTATTCTGAGCAGTATGTCTCAATAGTGGGCTCAAAATATTCAGTAAATGATGCTATAAACAGATGTGCTGTCATTCAGATTTGGTTTTTCCACTGATAGAGCACAGGCAGAGTAGATTTAGCATAATTCTTTAGGGCTCTAGGATTTTCAGAATGGAAAATGAGATTTGGCTTCAACTTAAAGTCACTAGTTGCATTAGTCCCTAACAAGAGAGTCAGCTTGTCCTTTGGAAGCTTTGAAGCCAGGCATGAACTTTTTTTCTCTAGCTATGAAAGTCCTAGATGGTATCTTCTTCCAATAGAAGGCTGTTTAATCTCCATTGAAAATCTGTTGTTTAGTGAAGCCACCTTTATCCATGGGCTTAGGTAGATCTGATGGATAACTTGTTACAGCTTTTCCATCAGCACTTGTTGCTTCACCTTGCACTTTCATGTTGTAGAGATGGCCTCTTTCCTTAAACTTGACGAACCAACCTCTGCTAGCTTCAAACTTTTCTTCTACAGCTTCCTCGCCTCTCTCAGGCTTCACAGGATTGGAGAAAGTTAGAGTCTTGCTCTGGATTAGACTTGGGCTTAAGGAAATGTTGTGGTTGGTTTGATCTACTATCCAGGCCACTCAAACTTTCTCTGTATTTGCAATAAGTTTGTTTGACTTTTTTAATAATTTCTGTGTTTTATAGAGTAGCCCTTTTACTTTCCTTCAAGAACTATCCCTTTGCATTCACAACTTGGCTGATTGTTTGATGCAAGAAGCCTAGTTTTCTGCCTATCTTGACCTTTGACATGCCTTCCTCACTAAGCTTAATCACTTCTAGTTTTTTATTTAAAGAGAGAAATGTGCAACTCTTTCTTTCACTTGAAATTTTAGAGGACATTGGAGGGTTACTAACTGGCCTAATTACAATATTGTGTCTCAGAGGATAGAGAGATCTGAGGAGAAGGAGAGGGAGATGGGTGGAGCAGTCAGAGTACACACTTTTATTGATTGAGTTCATGGTCTTATATGGACACAGTTTTGTGGTGCCCCAAAACATTTACAACAGTAA